AAAGAAAGGTATTCTTTAACAATTGCAAATGCAGCCTCCCGCTTTCCCCCACCTCAGGCCCCCTGGAAAGAAGAATGTGTGAGCCATAGGAGACTGCAACAGCGAGTGAGATTATCTCACCTCCAGAGACATATAAAGGTTATGCTCCGCTCTTTTAGGTTATAATAAATGCAGGGTGGAGGTGTCTCAGATTGCAAAAATAGCACACCCACCCCATCCCAGGCACCTTTGCTGTTTCTTGACTTCTCACCAGTCAGTGAATCAGTAAGTGACTATTCATTTAGAGAATGAGAGTTTCTAATAGGATAACGACATTTTCGCTCAGAATATTTCCATAAATTTGTTCCTTCTCTCAGATCATTCGTCAGGACAATCAAGACAGTGTTGTCAGGGTCTGAACGTAGAGATGTCCAATTTGGCAATAAAGTTTCTAAGAAAAATGAAGCATCTATCAGAAACGTAGCTCTCCAAAGTAAAATGGGGACTGAACTTTCTCCAGGCTAAAATGGTAATTTAGAATGTGAGGGTGTGAGAGAAATGTGGAGAAAATGGAAAAGTCAACAAAATGATAGCAGCCTTCACTAAGCCGTGTGTTCTGATTTAAACCAAAACCTAAAGAGGGATATCTGGGAATACGTTTGATGGGCCCTATCTGCAAAATGGAAACAAGACGTCAGTATAAAAAAGCCAAGAGTTCATGAGAAAGAGTAATTTCCACACAAAGGCAACTCAATCCGTGTGAAAATAAACAGAAAGCAGGCATGGTTTTGGGGAAATTTTTGAATTTGGGAAAAGGTAGAACCATTCTTCTTTCTGGGTTTAGATAAATAACGACCCCCCAAAACTCTTTATTCTGAATTGCTCTTTAGTTCTGCTTAAATTCAGCATCTTCTCTCAGTTCAAATTCAAGAAAGGAGATACCACACCACTCACCGACATATATCCTATTCTGGAAGAGTATATAAACTAAAGATAGAAAACTTCTCAAATCTACCTGGAAGTTGCATATATAAAGGGTTTGCTAATCAAAGTACCGGTTAACATATAATGTGTTAAAGGATTTAAGTAGGCTAAGTGTAACTATGCCAGACCACCATTAACCAATGGAGACCAGGCTCAGAAGGCACTGAAAAGAATTTCCTGGATTGATTGTGCCTACCAAGCCTATCCCCAAACTGCTTACGGGTTATCTTTGGCTCCAACTTGTTGGAGTCCCCTGTTCCATTTTCTTGGATTCTGTGTATTTCTCCTCGCTCCTGTTCTCTTGTGCAAAACCCAAATGCCCTGCCTGTTTTCCTTTGACATCCCAAATCCTACCAGTTAGGAAGTACCCACCTTAGTGGTGAATGAGGCATTGGGCAGTTAGGAAGTCCTAAGTTGGCACTGGGCACTTCCTAACTGCCCAGTGCCTCATTCACCACTAACAGTCCCTTATGCTAGATTAAGCTGTCAATCCTTTTATAAAGAAAGCTTCCCTGCTATCATCAATTTCTCCTTAAGTTCCCCTCTTCCATAATGGCTTCAGTGACAATCTCCCAGAAAACTTCCCTGTTCACTGTCTCACTGAAAAGGGCAGAGAGTAACTTTGCTCTTGAAGACCTGGCAGCAGTTTGACTCTGAGGGCTCAGATATCAAGGTGTAAAGTAATAATCTTCATTATTGGGATCATTTCAAGAAGGCACTGTCCTCAATTGTCCATAGTGATAAAGTATACAGCTGGCAAATCTGGTGACGACTCAACTGAAACTATATTACCAAGAAAGTAAGGCTCAATGTTTCCAGGAAAATAACTTTTCAAAAATAAAATGCTTTGAAAAATAAATCAAACCAAACAAACGCTGTTGGAAGACTCTCTGAAGCTCAGACTCTGGGAGGAACTAAAAGTAATCAATAAGTTGTCCTCAATCATCTTCAGGTCCAGGACCTCAGACCAGATCATCAGTGGAACCAGCCTTAAGAGGGGAGTTCCCCCATGGTTCCATAGACATGGTCCTATTTCCTGGGTTTCTAAAGTAAGACTCAAGTAATAATCCCACACAGTGGAGAGAAAACCTTTCTTTCCACTCACAGCTCCTTATGAAGACTGAGTTGCAGCCACTGAAGCAGAAACTAGCTAAATTACAGCTAAATACAATCCCAATACTGAAGCTACCCTAGTCCCTGAGAGGGAGGAAGCAGGTAAAACAATTTAATCTCACCTGAAGGGAAGCCTGGAGGCAAGAGAATCTTGAGCTGCAGGCTCACTTGCTGTTTCCTCCTTCTAAATCTATACATCACATTTTGAAGTTGAAAGGAAATTAAGTAGTTCCATTTCTGATTTACAGGCACAGTTAGTTGCACTTTGAAGGGTAGGTAATGTTTATACTGGGCTGGGTTTTTTTGTTTTTTTTTTTTTTCTTTTAGAAACACAGCAATGGCATGTGTTTATATATTCATATATACTTGTAACCTACCCCATACTCCTTTTTTTATTATGTAGCCCTGTTGAAACTGTGCCCCGGCACTGTAGCTCATGTCATGAATCTCAGCTCTGTGCCGCTACCTGATGGGTCTGAAGAAAGGCATTCCGGCAGAAAGAATCCTCTCTCTCTCCCTGCCTGCTACAGTATCTGAAACATCTACCATGAAAATGCTTCCATTGGGTTAGGAAAGAAAAATAAAATTTCATTGTGAGCAAGAAGATAGTAATACACTTATTTGTGGTGAATTTAGCATGAATGTTTTAACAACTAAGCCAGTATCTAATAATTTGCAGACAGAATGAGGAAGAGAGGAATGAAGCCAGATGTTGATGTTGTACATGTGTTATAATAAGGAGTCAGCACATTTGTTGTGTGTGTGGACGCTGGAATCAGAATAACAAGGTTGAAAATCTGTTACCACTACAGATCATAGTATTCAGGGCCCCTGTAAAATAAGGGGTCCTGAAATTAATCCCTATGGTGAAAGATACCAATCAGCTGCATAATCCATACAAATAATACTTTCGGTGAGTGGGAGAAATAGATTAAAACTCTTCCTGTGTGATTTGGAAAGAGAGAGATAGTATGAGAAATGCACTGGCCTTTGCCACTTTCTACCTGTATGACCTTAGATCACATCTGGGACCAGCTATGTCACTTGTAGGACCCAGTGAAAAACGGAAAGGCAGGGATCCTTGTTTAAAATGTTATGAAGAATTTCAAGAGGGTGACAGGGAGCATTAAGCAGAGTGTATGGCCCTTCTAAGCAGAAGACCTGGGCACATGTATAGGTGACACACTTATGAAGATGGCCCTAACTAGCCCTTTCTCCTAGGTCAGACCCCTGGTTTCCTCAGACTCTAGCACAGTGATCGTCATTTGCAAGTGACAAAAAGAAAATGCATAGTATTCATCTGATACTTCTTGAGACGAACATTGGAAATGCTAGCACGTGTTTAAAAGAAAAAAAAAACTGTTCTGATCAAAAAGCGTACACTTACTATACCCCGTCTTACAGAGCAAGCAGAAACCAGCCTCTTTTGATTCATATAAGGTTGTACTAAGAGATCTTTTCTCTCTTTTTTTAACAGAATTATTTGTTGGAGTGCCAAATTACTGAAGGGGCTTTGCATGTTTCAAGTCCTCTTCTTAAAGTAAGAATACTCTCCGTATTTGTAATAGCAGCAGAAGTTCCAATGTCAGCATAAACACAACTGCAAAAACGGAGGCACTTTTATGTCATAATAATACGTCGGAGTTCCGTTCACCTCTTTTTTAGAAAGAGAAGCTGAGACTTACACACATCCACTTTCTTAAATAAATAACTGTTCAGTGAAAGTTGCCCTGGGAGGATTACTGTCTCCAGCTCCCAAGCACCGCTCATCTGCCGAAGGGAGGACCCTCTCACTGCGACAGAAATTGCTCTTAAATGCATAAGACACAGCAGAGAATTTTTGGAAAATCCCTTATTATTCATTAAAGCGTTTTAGGGCCTCATTAATCCAGATGGAGTAATTGGTTGTTGATTAGCCAGGTTGTTAAGCATCCACTGTCAGATGCTGATGGGGTGTGAGAAAATACAATTCCCATCCACCAAAGAGTCAACTGAGTGAGGCTAGTCCTTCATCAGGTAAGGCTGGATCATCATAGGGGAAATCTGTATCTTCATCAGAGAAGGCTGTATCTTTGGGTCCCCAGTATCTTCCTTAATCTTCAAAACTTCTCTGTATTGCAAAACATTCCTCATTCTTTGGGGTTTTTTTTTGCCTACCTAAGGTCTGAAACTATGTCAGAAACCATTTTCAAAAGCTAGTTGGTGACAGGTCAGTCACACCTATACACTTCAGGACAGGATCCTAACATTTAAAGACAGGTGTGTGTCTGTGCGTGTGTGTGTGTGTATGTGTGTGTGTGTGTGTGTGTGTGTGTATGTGTCTGTGTATGTGTCCATATATATGTGTGTGTGTATGTCTGTGTCTATGGGTGTCTATGTGTTCATGTATGTGTCCATATATTTGTGTGTCTGCGAGTGTGTGCATGAGTTTGGTTTTGACTTTGTTTCAAAGTTCTTAGCTAGAGCCTGCCCCACATCTCCAGCCCTTCAGATACAAATGGAATTCAGGTTATCAAGGGGATTCTTTAGCCAGGGTTCAAAAACTCAACTTTCTTCCTTTCCAAACCTTGACTGACTGAGAATCACATAACAGCAGTGAGCACAGTGAGAAAAGTCCCTGGATTAGAAGCTGGAAAATGTGATTCAGAGTCCTGGTTCTGTTTTAAGAGAGGAAGTGACCATCATTAGCAAACTGTCATTTCATCTCCCTGACAGTTTGAATTCATTTTCTCTCCCTTTCACAACAGAGCAACATTAATGTTTAACCTTTGTGTCATACCAAGAAGAGTTGAGGGTGTGTTTCTACAAAGACAGACAGTCTCCAACCCCTTACGGACCTTTTCTAAAAGAGACAGAATGCTTCCAAGACTATAAAGAACACACTTAGTCAAATCTTCCAACGAAGAGGATCCCATTTTACTCACGGAACTGCTCTAGATGCTCATTGCTGTTGGACTCAGGCATGGCCGTGATGGTCACCAAGGGACACGGATTCCCTCCCAGCGTCTGGCAGAGAACATCCTGCCGGAAGTAGACCTCCTTGACATTGACACTCTTTTCCAGAATGTCGAGATGAGTCTGGAGCAGAAAGAAAGTAGGCATGTAAGTTATTAACATTGTTTATGACAACAACAACAGAAAACAACGACAGCTTACATGTAGTGTAGAAGTATTGTTGTTGATCTAATCCAACTTTTATGTATTGGGCATTGAGTGATTAAAAGGGGGCTATTCCTATGGTCTAGGAGAAGCGCAACGAGACCGAGCAGGAAACATCATTCTTGCATGTTTCGGCATAAAGCAAGAGGGAGGAGGGCAGGGGCATAAAGCCCTCTTCCTATCACTGTGGCATATAAGGAAATGATAGATAATGGAGACTCGGAAGGGTCAGGGGATGGGCAGGATCATGAGAAATGTGTTAATGGGCATGACGTATGTTATTTGGGTGATGGATCCTAAAAGCACTGGCTTGATCTCTGCTCAGTCTATGCATGTAACAAAACTTCACGGGTAGCCATAAATTTGTACAAATAAAAAAAAAATCAATCCATGTGAAAAGAGACAAATATAATCATGCTTTGTTTAAATTTTTTTTTAATATGGCTATCATGAAAATAGAACCCACCCAGAACACTGGAAAGAATGAGACACAAAACTTCAACAGCACATAGTATCACAGAACCAAGTAAGAGGGAGAATTGTGAGCGTATTGAAAAACTAATAGACGTGATTAATACACGTGGACTGCTAAGCTGAAAGAACTAACAAATAGCAATCAATTTTTCCTACCATACTGCCCCATTTCAACACTGATTTAAAAAAAAAAACTCAATACAAAAATGGAATAGTCACTGAAATTAGGACATCTGGTTAAGAAACTTTTTTTTTTTTTTTTAACACAGTCTCACTCTGTCATCCAAGCTGGAGTTCAGTGGCACAATCCGGGCTCACTGAAACCTCTGCCTCCCAGCTTCAAGTGATTCTCCTGCCTCAGCCTCCCAAGTAGCAGGGACTACAGGCATCTACCACCACACCAGGCTAATTTTTGTATTTTTAGTAAAGACAGTGTTTCGCCATGTTGGCTAGGTTGTTCTCGAACTTCTAACCTCAGGTGATCTGCTCCCCCATCCCTTGACCTCCCAAAGTGCTAGGAATACAGGCATGAGCCACGACATCTGGCCTCTCGTTAACAAGCTTTAAGAATTCTGAAGAAATTTTCTCTAATCAAAACAGGGGCACTAATCATAAAGAGGCTAAGAGACTTTCCCCACCCACACTGCATCCCCTGACAGTGGAGACTTCAGTAACCAGACAGGGAAACACCGCCCCTCTGCAGGACAAGAATACCACTGCCCAAAAATTATCCTCCCAGCTTAAAATTTAAAGTTTTTTCCAGAATCAAGTAGGTATTAAGAGGACCAAGGAGAAACTACCCACTTTGTTTCTTGACAAAAAACTAGCCTGCTAGGTAAAGGAAACAAAAAAACTTAGGAATTACTTTTTTTAAATCCCACTGCATGTTGTATATAAGAGGGACTTCTAAAGACAGAGAAAGGGAAAAAGTTATGTGTATGAGAAATGCCCTTAAATTATCTCTTTATTTTGTTTGCCTCTGTTCAAGCATTTTAAAGGAGAAATATTGCAACTAAAAGCATAAGCAAACATAAATTAAGGCAGGCATGGTAATAGTAATATACAACGAAGCCATATTCAAGATCGAGTGCATTAAATGGGATTTTAAAATCTTATTTTGATAAAGGGCACAATTCACAATGAACATATAAGACTCATAAATTCTTAACAATCAAACAATATGGGATTGGAATACATAACAAAATGGCAGAAAGAGAAAAAACTGTTCTCGGAGCGGGAGGATTTTTAAGATTGCACCTTGGTCTTGAATAAACCAACTGCATAAAAATAATAATATATGCTATTTGAACAATATTGTTTTTGTAGACATATGTCAAACTTTGTTTTTCCAGAGAATATTTATAAATTTTTTCTCAAATATCCATGGAACTGCAGCAATAATTAATCATATATGAGGCTATTGAAAACTCCTTAAATTTTCCCCCCAAGAAAGCAGAAATTATACAAATAATATTTTCTGACAATTAAATGAAATTAGACTTAAGTAAAAATGATTTTCAAAACAGCAAAAATAAACTAACCACTAGACAACAGAAAATACTCTCTTAAAAGGAGCTTACTGGAAAAAAATTTCATAGGTTAAAAAAATCAATATTAAATTATTAACCAAAGCCCTGATATAAGTAGACATCTGTGTATCCCAGGAGAGATGGCTTAGAACAAGAATGAAAATGTCTCCATCATAATATTAGTCATGTTTCTAAGCCATCCTGGAAAAGGAAAATTCTAGCTCCACAGTTAAGAAGGCATGGATACGGCCGGGTACGGTGGCTTATGCCTGGGTGGTGGTAATCTCAGCACTTTGGGAGGCCAAGGCAGACAGATCATGAGGTCATGAGATCAAGACCATCCTGGCTAACATAGTGAAACCTCATCTCTACTAAAAATACAAAAAAATTAGCCAGGTGTGGTGGCACATGCCTGCAATCCCAGCTACTCAGGAGGCTGAGGCAGGAGAATTGCTTAAACCCAGGGCAGAGGTTGCAGTGAACCGAGATCATGCCATAGCACTCCAGCCTGGGCAACAAGACTGAAATACTATTCCAAAAAAAAAAGAAAGAAAGAAACTGAAGGTATGGATAGTGCTGTATTCAAATTATAGTCCCTGCGATCACAAATTATTTTTAACAGTTTAATAAACATTTGAGTGAACGTTGCTGTCAATATTCTTTATTATCGAAATCTAGACAAAATGAAATCTGCCTCACAGTTACTATCAAGACAAGGCTCGAAAACCAGAAAGGGAAACTTGGTTGCAGCATTTCCCAAAATATATCCCGTACTATGTTAGTAAGTGCTGGGGTGTGAACAAGGAGGTGGAGGAGGCAGGAAATTCACAGCCAAAATGCCTAGAAAATGTTGAGTTAAAGAAAATGAAAATATCTCCATGAATGCAGGATTTCTCAGATTCTTTAATATTTCAATATGCATTGTGAACTGTTAGAAGAAAAACTAGCACCAGTGCTTCATAAATTTAGATGACCACCAAACTTTTTTCTCTAAACATCTCAAGAGACTGAAGTCCTATAGAATATGTGTTGGGAAACACTGCCTTGCTGAATTATTTCTATTAACTTGTGCTCTCGTGCTCACTCGCGCTCGCACTCTCTCTCTCTCTCTCTCTCTCTCTCTCTCTCCCCCCCCCCCGCCCCCGCCTTTCTTACTAAATCTGTTTGTTTCACATTTTATTATGGTCACATGGGTCCTTGCCAGTGGTGAAGCTTTCTCAATAAAGCCCAAACATAAACTCAGTCAATTAATTTTTTATAGAGGTACCAAAAACACGCAATGGGGAAAGAACAGTTTCTTCAATAAATGCTGTTGGGAAAACTGAATATCCACATGCGGAAGAATGAGAATTATCCCCTTACATAAGAATCAACTCAAAATGGATTAAAGACCAAAGCATAAGACCAGAAACTGTAATGCCACGAGATGAAAACATAAGAAAAAAAAGCTTCATGACATTAGTCTGGGCAGTGATTTCTTAGATACAACCCCAGGAGCACAGAAAAAGAAAGCAAAAATAGACAATAGGATTTCACCAAACTAAAAAGCTTCTGCATAGCAAAGGAAACAATTTACAGAGCAAAGAGACAACCCACAAATTGGGAGAAAATATTTGCAAATCATACATCAGATAAGGGGCTAATATCCAAAATATGAAAGGAACACAAATTACTCAGTAACAAGAAAACAACCCTATAAAAATGGGTAAATGACCTGAATAGGCATTTCTGAAAAGAAGACATACAAAAGACCAACATTTGTATATTAAAAAATGCTCAGTATCTCTAATCATCAGAGACATGCAAAATAAAACCACAGTGAGATACCACTTCACACTTGTTAGATTGGCTATCATCAAAAAGATGAATGACAGCAAGTGCTAGTGAGGATCTGGAACCCTGAACACCGTTGGTGGGAATGCAAATCAGTGCAGGTATTTTGGAAAACAGTATGATGTCTCCTCAAAAACCAAAAATAGAATTACCATGTAATCCACCCATCTCACTTCCAGGTATATATCCAAAGGGATTGAAATCAGTACATCAAAGAGATGTCTGTCTATACCCCTGTGTTCTGTGCAGCGTTATTCACAAGAGCCAAGATACAGAAAGAACCACAGTGCCCATCAGTGAAGACCTATATATGGAGATATATATATATATATATATATATATATATATATATGTACATATACACATACATACACACATACATATATACATATATATGCACACACACAATGGAATACTATTCAGCCTCAAAAAGCAAAAGCAGGAAATTCTGTCATTTGAAACAACATGGATGAGCCTGAAGGACATACGCCAAGTGAAATGCTGGGCACAGAGACAAATACCACGTGACCTCGCTACACACGGAATCTAAAAAAGTCAAACTCACGGAAGTAGAGAGTGGAATGGTGGTGACCAGGGCCTGGAGTGGGAACAAGGGGGAGGAGTAGAGAGATGCTGGTGAAAGGGTACAGCATTTCAATTAGACAAGAGGAATAAGGTCTGGTGATCTATTACATAGTGTAGTATTCATAGCTAATAATAATACACTGAATTATTTCAAAATCAATAAAAGAGTAATTTTAAGTGTTCTCACCACAAAGAAATGATAAATATGTGAAGTGATAGATATGTTTATTAGTCTGGTTTGACCAATCTGTAACATATACATGTACCATATAAATGTAAGCAAATACTATTTGTCAACTAAAAATGAAATAAAACTTTTTAAAATAAAAATAAATAATAAACACAATCTGTAAAAAACAAAAAAGAAAGAAAAGAAAAAGAAAAAAGGGAAAAGGGGAACAAATAAATGAAAAACAAAAAGCAATAATCGTCATTCTGTGATGTTACAATTAAGCCATAGTTCTTTGGTGCCTGATACCAAACTTTAAAAAAAAAATA